GATTACTAATCTGAAGTTTCATTTTTAAATATGAGTACTGATTCTCAATTATCCTATCTACGGAATACACATTTCAAGGCCTACCTTGTATATGTATTGCTGTCATGGTTAAATAATATCATGTTAATAAAATGCCCTGTGTACTCTGCCAGCACCCGAAGAGGCACTCAAAAATGGCCCTCATCATAGCGACTATCTTTCCTGGACAATCAAATGTTACAGAATTTCTCTTCAGACAATTACATTAGTGCCTAAATTTTGACACAGTGATCTTCACAAATCCAGATTTTTTCTGAGTTTGGCTAACCATTAAACCAACCATAATGTAACCCTGAGGAAACTGGGGCAAGAAACAGCCCATGTTCTATCCCTAAAACATTTCTCAAATGGCAATGCCCTGACAATTCAGTCTGTTTCTTCAAAGAGTAGAGGGTTGAGAAACACTGAAGTAGAGATGACTGCTGCATGTTGGGCCTGATATACCAGGACTGAGGTCAGGCGACCTGTAGGCTAAATGCGAGTCCCTGATCATGGCCACTGCTTCCCCTGCACATTGACAACTGAGTTTATAAAATGAATATTTTCAGTTTAGAGAAATGAAAAAAATTTGCAGTCAGACAGCCTGAGTTTCCAGACTGACTTTATAACTTCTCTGTATCTCCTTTAGTTTCTGCTCTTTAAAAAAAATGTGGATTGCAGTAGCGCCTATGGCTCAAGGAATAGGGCGCAGCCCCATATGCCGGAGGTGGCGGGTTCAAACCCAGCCCTGGCCAAAAGCTGAAAAAAAAAAATGTGAATAGTAAATCCTCAAAACTTTTAAGGGTATGGGGGGGGGGGTAAGTAGATGCATAGCTTTACAAAAGATCAATTGATATATCACGGAGTCTCCATAAATAAACAATAGTTTATTTTCTTAGAAATGATGTGAAAGAGATGGACTGGTTTTAATAAGGAAGAAAGTGAAACCATACAAGGAGATAGGGTTGCTGGACCAGACAGTCCAGCTGCCCCAATTGGGAGGATCATTTACCTTTACTAATTCCCAGTCTTCACATCTGTGTAGGGTGCACATTGCTTTTCAATCTGCTTGTTCCAAAGGGTTGACTTTTTAAGAGGGAACTACACTAGTGTCTGTGAAAGACTTTTAAAACCATTTGTGAATTTTTGCTGTCAGCAATAGTGGGTTAGATAAGCCTGCAGGCAAAGATGATGAAAACAAGCTAAATATCTATTTGAAGCCATCAGAGAGTTATCAAGGAAAAGAAGGCTTCAGGAACCAAGATTCATGAGAGTAGAAAAACCCAGAAAAGCAAAGCTTGCCACCTGATGCCTCTGCCTTCTCTCTAAAGGTGTTTACTGACTCTAAAACAGCAGCCGACAGGCTGAGAAGCTGAACAAAGTTTATGGCAATTACACAGAGTTGAGGGAACAGAAAGTGACATTCGGAGTCTGTCTAGGAAGAGGAGCCCTGGTAAAATCCCTTGGCTTAAAGTTGGAACCTTTAAAGAGCACAGTCTGTTTAATGCAGAATTTAAATAGTAAGGTACGTAGGATAACCAGAGTTCTGTAAGATATGACAAGAAATACGCCAGCCACCAGGAAGCCAGCTTTGAATTAGCCCAACACGTGACTCTATTGAAGTGATCTCTTTCTTACCATGAATGTCAGAACAAAAGAAAATCTGCTCTTTTCAAAGCTTCAGATTCTAAAATCTTTTATATATGATGTTTGGCACCGGAACAAGCAAAATCAGACAAGCAAAAGCACAAGAAGAAAACAGAAAAACAATTTTAAAAATTCACAAGATACTCAGATACTGAAGTTATCAGATAAAAATCAGGGGAAAAAATTGTTTGCTTTAATTAGAAGACGTTAAAGATACCACTAAATTAGTTGTCTTAAAATATATTTTCTGAAACATAAAAATTGAAAATTTACTATTAAATCAAACCACCTCACATTTTGTCCACTTTAATAACTCAATTTAATGATGGTGAGCTTTTAAGAGCTATGATCAGACTGTGGAGGATTAAACAGAGAACATCTGGGGTTTTCTTCTTCCCATGATGTCATAATTGTGCAGATTATTTTTTGTTTTGAATTTCTCTTAGGCACAAAAAAAGTCCCCAATTTTATTTCAGAATTTCTAATTGGTTATCCTATGTACCTTGCTATTTACATTCTACATTAAACAGCAGATTTTAATTGGATTTTGGCCATGTTAAATTTTTTATAAGCCTCTTAGAAGAGTTTCCTTACTAATTAAATACAACCATTTTGACTATAATGGACTAATATGATTATCTCTTCAACAACTGTTCCATTAGTTCATTCATTAGGTACTATTAGAGTTGCTGTCAGACCAGGAATAAATTCTTATCCTCACAATTAAATAAATTTGTTTTTTACCTAAGCATGAAAAAAACAGACTGCATCATGCTTTTTTAATTCTCAACAAAGAAAACAATATATTGGATAATAATGCAGGATATATTTTAAGTATGATTACAATTTAAAGATAAGTGTACAATTAGGTAACTTAATGGAGAGATCAAATTCATCTTAGCTATGTCAATGTTGTTGTAGACAACAACATACAGAGAAAAAACGTCTGTCTTCTAAAACCACCAAGAGTTTGTAAAGAGGCTGAGTGCTTTATTGGCTGTCTGCCATTCCTTAGATGTATTCTGTTAAATCTGAATATTTCATCCATTTATCTCTGCTAATGAAATTTATCAGTAGCACTTACTTTTTCATTTTTATCTAGGGCTGAATTAAATTCCATCTCAAATTCTTTCATGGAAGAAAGGTTGGGAAGAATGGAAGAAGAGATCTTTAATTCTAAATGAATTCAAATAAATAGAGGCAGGGAAGTAAGTGCAATTAGTAGATGGTCACTTCAGTGTGGCATTCCCAATCTGCAGTTATTTACAATTAAAAAATAAGACTTCTCTCTGATAAACTATACTAGCAGAGAAATATTCCAGGTCTCCTGAGAGAGACCTTGGAGCTCCAAAGCCAGTAGGAACTTGACTGTGAACTGATTCTATTAATGTACCTCAACAAGGAACAGGTCCACAAAAAAGAGTCAAGTAAAGAAGGATTTAAAAAAGAAGCCATTATAACCAAATTTTGGCAATCCCAAATAAGCTAGTTTAGATGAGTCTTGTCTAAGCACATGGGAACATGATGGTTTCAGAACAAGACTATCTTTATAGTGGATCAGAGGTGTCTAAGCTTTCTTAACAGCATAAAATAGTTTCAAATTTCTTCTGAGATTCAGAGAAATTAAGCAAATTATTCTATTATTTATTCATCCTTGCAGGGGAGAGTCAGGATTCAGAACTGTGAGTCTAAAAAAACTTGTCTTTAGGCTCCCTGGGTTAACTCATTATTCTTAAATATGAAAATAGTCAAAATGCTACAATTGTAAAAGTCTAATATTTTATTTAACCTGTTCTAAGGAAATTTAATGATACATATATAGTTCTAATCAACCTGGGCCGTTTTATGCCTTCTCACCAAAAGATCCAAATCTTCATTGGGAAACATTAAAAACAAATGATATCTTTGAAAAATAATATGAATACTTTTTAAAGCTCTTGAAAAGGGAGCAAATCCAATTGGGTGGAGTAGGAGTGAGAAGGAAGACATCTTAGCTCATTCAGGCTGCTGTACTTAAATGCCATACACTGGGTGGCCTACAAACAACATGCATTGACTTCTCGCGATTCTAGCACCTGGAAAGTTCAAGACCAGGGCACCAGCAGATGCAGTATCCGGTGAGCGCCCACTTCCTCACAGAGGACACCTTCTCAGCTCTCTGGAGCCTCTATTATAAGTGCACTAATCCCATTCATGAGAGCTTCACCCTTATGACCTAATTACCCCTCAAAAACCTCATCTCCTAATACCATCACTTTGAGGGGATTTCAAATATGAATTTGGGGGAGGGAGGGACACAAACTTCCAGATAATAGAAAAGGGAGGACTGTTTCTCTCCTAACAAAACCAAAATTAATCCATCCCCCTCCTCAGAGTCCATTCATTGTAGCAGTTGCTGATTCATTCATTCATCCCTTCTATTATTCAGTAAGTATAATGTATATATGGAGCATTGACTGTGATCCAGGTATTCACCTCATATCAGTGGTTCTCTCAGTCTTTCTTCTAAACCACAGCTCACTTCTTTTTTACCCCATTCTTTAACCAAGACCTTTCCTTCAGAGCACAGCATCTTATCATGTCTAATATATAGCTACTTAGTCTCTTGGTCTTATTACAATTCCATTCTTTTCTGATTACCTGATGGATGCAACAAAAGGCTCCCAAGAGCCCATCGGGCCAACATAGAATCTCCTGAGAAGGTAGAGAAGGTGAAATAACTGTGAACCTAAAGCTTGTGTGTCTTCTACAAATAGTCTGCCTATATTCTGCCCTGCCAGATTTTCCATTCTCAAACCTCTGCCTCTAGTGATGAACATATGAACAGAAAACCAAAATTAGCAATAATTGGCTAAAACAGAACATGTTTTACTTTACAATGTGGAAATCTTTATACATATTTCTAAAGAAAGTTGGTTTAAAAATAATCATTTCAACAGTATTGATTTTTATGAGCTATAGAAGAACACTATTATGGTACATGTTTAACTTTCTATAATTTTCATCAAATATTTTCTTAAAATATTCCCATAATCTTACTACTAAGTTTAAATTTTATATGATTTTAGAAATTCTGTTTTTCTTATTGAGGAGTTAAATGTTCACAAAGGTAAATAGATACTGCAGTGTTTTTCTTTTTACTCACTAAACATTTTAAGTTTTTGTTCAGCTATATCTTACTGACAACCACCACTTCCAACATTCTTCATTAAATTTATTTTAGTAGAATTTATCAACTAATTACAAAAAATTTCAGAAGAAATTTCCCTTAGATTATTTTTTTTGTGGGCAAAAGCAAACCTTTTTCTGTGGTTAGATTTTTATGACCAACTCACCTATCAAACAGTTCTCCTCCTGTGACGAGTTCTAGGACCAGACTGATTTCTGTAGGGGTTTCAAATATCTCTTTAAGTTTTATCTGGGGAAAAACATAAAAAACAAGATATCACAAATTTCTTATTTTTCCATCTTTCTTGGAAATAGCTACTGCTATGGCTAAAACAACACTCTGCAATAGTAACATGTTGGATCATTGATAATAAAGGTTCCTCAGTGTAATCTCTGCATTCAGCAGCTATTTGGCATTCTTTCTGGGTGGATGATTTTATCGGTCACCTCACTTTTTCAAGGTCCTATAGAATTTTGATATTTGGGGTTTTTTTTTTTTTGACCTGCCAGAAATACTTCCTAACTTTCCCAAATTATCCCAACTTCTGAATTGCTCCAGAATCAAAAACAAAAACAACAAAGATTCCTAAACTATTTCAAGGCATTATGATTATAAGAAAATGCAAAATATCTCTTTCTCCTGAAAATAAAGAACTTGGAACTAGGGGTCTGAGGCAGGGCAGGGTGCTGCCAGATTAAAGTTTGTCTATATGCAAAGGTTACCCCTCAAGAGCTAAAAAGTTGTTGGTGGGAAAAGGGTCCTCAGTAATGTAGCAGTGGCAGTGATTTCATTGGCCATATAGGTCACACTCAAAGAATCCAACCAGTCTGGTATATTTTTCTCCATATATCTGAGAATCTAGCTACCAGGACTGATCCACATTTGAGGAAGAGTCCACATTTACTTTGGAAAAAAAAGAGATGGATAACGTAAAATTGGTGACTGAGTGTGGCAAATTTTGTCCATTGCTTGCACAGAGCCTTTTCCCCTGTACTTTATTACACACGGAACCCTGATTTTGTTTGGAAAAGCAAGTTTCCTAATCCTACATTATAGATCATAATAATCTAAGCCACTGATTTCCCAGCCTCCATGTAGTTAAGGGAGATCTAGTGATCAGCCCTGGCCAGACTCTGCTGGGGAGAGTTTTCTTCCTGCCTTGAAGATAGACCTCAAATCCATCTCGTACAGCATGGAGAAGCCATTTTAGGCCCAGGAGTGAAAACTGTGAGGGTGAAAGTCAATTTTCTAGGGACAACAGAACCCAGGATGGGCTGTGGGCCCTGGACAGCGTCCTTGAGGAGCGGAGTAGGTACTTGAAACTGCCTGCCTTCTTATGGCTTGTAACAGAAGAAAAATGCTTGTTTAGAGCACCATACTCAAGCTTTTGTACTATTTATGGCTGAATGCATCCCTAACTCATATGTTAAGTTTTATGCCCTTTGCCTTGAACCTAAGAATCCTCCTAGACATCACAACTTCCTAAGAGAAATAAGCAAGACACTTTCTTAAAGTAGATGGCTTAATTCATAAAAACAACCAGTGACCTGAAAATGATTTTGTTCTTTTTCACTCCATTGGTTCAACAAAGCTCTTCATGAGACCTTCTCCTCAGAGGCTTTGTCTAGACTTAGCCTAACGCAGAGCTTCTGAGGACGTCACGTTTTACCCACTGAAGTACATCGTTTATTTGCAACATCATATTATTCCCGAAGCTGGTCTTGTCTCAAAGGAGACTGGCAGACATAACTCTAGAAAGCAATGAAATTCTTTCCCAGGCTTTTTCAGCAATGGTATTAGAAAGATGGGCACACAAGAGAAGGAAGAGGCCAGCATTTTTATTAGGGTGAAACAAAACTCTTCAATTTTTATCCTTGTATGCAAAAAATGAAGAAGGTAAACACTGCTGATCTTTCCACTCTGGAACTTTTTCAGGGCTGTTATTTATAAGATGTATTCAGTCAAAGAATTAAAAACATGACGAGATGAGAAGATGGTGGCTACTGCTGGTGGCAGAATCCCCTTCTCATCAGCATGGACAGTGAAGGACAAAGATCTCATCATCTCTGGAAATTACTGGAAATAGTAGGTTGAAAAACACTTACAATGTTTGGATGTGAGAGGCGAAGAAGAACTCCTATTTCAGTTCTTACGATTTTTTTGTCCACCTAAAAAGCAAAATAAAAGAGATAAACTGAAAGGAACTCCCCCCTTAGAAATACTTTCAATGTAGCAGAGAATCAGACACACCAATAACTACCCGATGAGTTACGGAAGTGGTGGAGGCTAAGTCCTAAGCTCTGTTCTTGTGTCTCCTTCCTCCCTTTCCTTTTCAGCTGCACGCCCTTCCTCTTTGCTTCAGACATGAGGCAGAGCAAGTAACCAATATGGATCACAACTTGTCAGAGCCCTTGCATGGTGTCTTCCCTCCTTTCTCAACAAAAATCATCATCACCCTGTCAACCATGAAGGCAGAAGTTCTCAACCCATCCCTCTCCCTTCTCTTCCTTATATGGGAGTCTCTGTCGCCAGCCCAGTGGAGCTGGGATCACTTCACCTGCTTTCCTCACACACAGGAGATGCATATGTGACCCCCAGCCGCACTGATCAGAGAGTACCCTGTCCCCTGGCCACTGTGGTAGGGCCACAGATATCCATCAGACTCAAATCATCTCAGTTAGGCTCCTCTCCAGAAATGTTGCTCAAATAATCAAGAAAGAAAGGAATTCTTTTCTCCTTTTCTCTGAGATTGTGAGAACAAAAGAAGATAGAGTCTGCTGCTACCAGTGACCGTGTTGATACCATGACCGCATTATTAAAAATGAAGCAACACAAGAAAAAACACTGCTGAGATGTGAAGAAAAAATACTGTTGATAGAATTCAATCACCTGGATTCAGTTACACGTAAGTTGGTTTTACCCTTTGAATTTTGTAATTAGGTGAGTCCACTAAATTGCTTTTCTCTGCTTAAGTTATATAAAGTTGGTTTCTACTGCTTGCCATTAAAGAACTGTAGTCAGTTTACCACTTGGTCTCTTTGTTTGGGATGATGGCCATTTAGTTTAGGATATACCAGAATTAGGGCTACTCCTTCTCTCTAGGCCGATGATTGACTCTTTTAATCATAATGAATGAGCTGGGCTTTCTTGTCACTAAAAATCATACACAAGACAGAAAGCTTTCAGTGTGCTCCTCTACCAATAAAACCCATCAGAATAACATGCAGATAATTCTTGCACTCTTACTGTGGTCCTGCCATCTAAGCTGTCCAGAACCCTTGGACTGGCAGAGTTCATGGGATTTTAAAAATGAAGATGAAGAAGTTTATATGCAATTCACAGCCCAACTCTGTGGGCAAGAGACTGCTTGAAGTGGTGAATGGATTCTACTCTTGCAGTTACTTCTGAGGAAGAAGGAATTGGCCTTGGGAGAAACCCAATCCCATTTCAATGGCAACAGCCACAACTTTGAAGATGATGAAGAATGACATCTGTTTAATTTTTATTCTCTAATGAAAACATTAACTTCCAAGGACACATTCTTTAAAAACAAAAAAAGAAATGTTATAGACCTTATATGTTCTTTTCCTTGATTGCAACATATAAATAAATTTAACATTTATTTTTCTCCGGCAAATATAATTTTGAGTATGTTAACTAAGCATAGCAGTTGCCATTTAGAAATGCTTTAAGTTTTTATGAGAAGAGAACGTGTTTTCAAGGAGCTGGTAAAGAGTTCCTATCCCAATAAGACACCTCCTAAGAGTCTATTGCACCACTGTATATAAGAAAGTATTAAATAGTCATATGGTCATGGTGAGGCCTCTTAAACTGTAATAAACGTCTCCGTCATTCATGTAAGCAATTAGGAAGCTCAGGATGTTGGAATATATTTTGGCCAAAGAAAATCAAACTATTAAAATCAAATTACAATACTACAAAACAATGTATTCTACCTATGTTGAAGGGATACCAGTGAGTGCAACCCAGCACATTTCTTAAAATATTCGTAAATTTCCCACTTAAAAATATAGTATCAGCTATAAATTAGACTAAGACAGGGATGAAGGTATGATCTGTGCATTTCAGTACCTGACAAATAATATGAAGCAGTTGTATAAGGGGGGGAGATTTGCTGTGAGCAGAGAAAAACAAGTTGGTAACAAATAACTTAATTCAAGTGACTGTGCATCAAAATTGATAAGCTCTGGGCCTTTCCCAGTGAAAGGAACCAAGGAAAATACACATCTTGATGTGGCCAGTGTTCTATGACTCAGGGCTGTGGAAGCTGCTTTACCAGTCCCCTTCGGACACTAAACCATAACTATTTTACATGATTCAGACTATATATTGAATACCGAAATTCTTTCAGTTGCAAGTAACAAACACCCAACTCAAACTCACTTCAGCCAGAAAAGTAACTTATTGGCACATGTAACTAGGAAGTCAGAATGGAATTACCTACAGAGAAAGCCCAAATCAGAGGTTCATATCAAACCATGAATCTCTCCCCCTCCTCTTTCTCCCCTCTCTCCTTTCATCTTTCTTCCTTTCTCTGTCTTCCCTCCCCACCTCGTACATGTTTGCATCTCTCTCCCTCCCTCTCTTCTTTCCAAGTGGCAGGAAACATGGCCCTAGAAGCTTCGAGCCTGTACTACTCAGACTCATATTTCAAAGGGAAGAGATTCTCTCTCTCTGCATCTACCTACCTAATCTGAAGTAGTTTTCCCACTGGCCTTGCTTTTTTTCTGTGCCTACTCTTATTCATCTAACTACGACAAGGCCAACCATGGGTCACAGCCCCTGTCCTTTGACTGCCATTGAGGGAAAGGGAAAGTCTGGTTCCCCTGAAGAATGGATGGAAGGAGGCACTGAAGACTCCTTGCTTTGTTCTCTCCCTTTTACATTGGAATAAGATTATGAAACATTAATTTCTCTGCTTCTTCCATGTCCTTATCAATAAATAGTTAACAATTATTCACTGATAATAATCTTGCCACGAGTAGATTTAATATTCAGGATTTTGACCACTTACAGTAACTCAAATAGACCCTACCAAATAAACTTTTTCCTAGAAACTCTTCTGAATTCAAACTGAAAAGCTGAAGAAGAATAGTTGCTTAGCTGGCCCGTGTACATCCTCATGTAAGCCTAGCAGACTCTCAGCTTTGTGCCTCCAGTGTGCTGTGTTGTTCTATCTTTCTAGACAGCAGGCTTGGCAATTGTTTTGATGTTACTAGTAATGTAAGTTGAAAGAAAGGAAAGACGTCTAACAAAGTGGTGGCTGTAGCCAATATGAAAGGTGGGACTACAAACTGGGACAAAAGTTCTTGGAATCTATGTGCTTTTTCATCATATTGTCAACACTCTTGAAGCAGAAAAACATTAAAATTTGATTTATTTAGAAACAGGAAAATGGAGATTGGAAGCTCCATGGAACTGGAGATTCAAAGCTCTAGGAAGGAATACAGAGTTTATGTGTAATCAATGGCTAGTACGTAGTACAACTGGGATGAATGAAAACAAAAATACGTGTTCTTTCCCTGAGAAAGATTACAGTCTAATCTGGAAGATCAGATTCATCCACATAACATGATCAGAATATACTGAAGAACAGTAAAGGAAAAAAACACTGCAAACAAATTTTGTTTTAGTAGTTCCACTGTTCAGTGGAACATCATTTCTTCCTGAGCCTTAATAACGTTAATATTCAAACAGTTGGCTTATTCTAAATGATTTTTGATATTACCTGACATTTAAAAAAATTACATTATTGAAGAAAAAGTATCCAATGTACTCAGCCCTACTATGAAACTAATTTATAGCTTTCATAGGAAAGCTATAACCCAACTTTAGCCCAAGAATATGGGGAGAGGGAGAGAGGGGGAAGGGGAAGGGGAAGACGGGTGAAGGGAGGGTGATTGGTGGGACCACACCTATGGTTCATCTTATAAGGCTTCATGTGAATCTTTCTAAATGTAGAATATAAATGTCTTAACACAATAACTAAGAGGATGCCATGAAGGCTATGTTAACCAGTTTGATGAAAGTATTTCAAATTGTATATAAAACCAGCACACTGTACCCCATGACTGCATTAATGTACACAGCTATGATTTAATCAAAAAAAATCACATTATTGTTAATACAAAATGAACAGAGATTTTCTTGGTTTTGTGCTGGGTGCGTCGAGATGGTGTGATGTGGGTTGCTGGTAGCTGGCCAATGCTCTCAGGCTACCCAATCATGGAATGTTAGACAGCACAGTCCAGAGGTAGTACAGTGATAGAACAAGACTCTAAAAATTATTTAATTTAGTAAGAAGTTATAAATTTCATGAAAATTTGTTACTGAGCAAGACACCCCTCTGGTATCAAATATGAGATCTTTGAGGAAGAAAGGCATGGCTAGAACAGTCAGATGACACGAACAGATCTGTCTGAAGAGCTCCTCCTCACTTTCTATTTCAGTTTCCGCAGATGCTGTTCAAGAAAATTCTGATACTGAATATTTTTATCACCATCTTCTCCTCACGTCAACAAGGATTTCCTTGCTAATATAACATAAATGTATTGAATGCATCTGTCATTATTGTACAGCATTTAGAAAAATATTGTGGACATGGGTGTCCCTAAAATAAGACTGTTGGAACTAGGATTTTTTTTTTCTCACTGCACTCTTATGGTTTATGTAATATAGGCCTTTCCCTCATTTCACATATTTCTGATCAACGTAAAATGATAACATGTAGTGAGATCCTTTTATTTTTTCACATGATATATTTGTATCAAATATTTTCTAATACAAGGAAACGTTTGGAAGAAATTTATTTTTTACCATGTTATGTAGTACATATTACATGCTGGGATGCCTTTTCTTTCTTTTTTTTTTTTTTTTAGTTCTTGAGAGTTAAATTATCTAAACTCTAAAAATACTCAGAACACACCAGATTGCAAAAAGTCTGGGCTAGCAATGCTCTAGTGTAATCAGTTGCTTTGAATTCAGAATTAACTTTTTTCTTCAAAAACAATTTTTTAAAGGGTAGTTACTTTTCCAGCATACTCTATAGTATTGTCTCAAAACAAGACACAGTCTCGGGGTCATTCCTGGTCCCTTTGATATTTTGTTTTTTGATGTTATATTTAAAGTATATAAGGTGATGTAAGTG